TTATTCAGATTTGTATAATGTGATGATAAAATACACAATGTGACGAACTTGAGTTGGTTGCAATATTTAAAGCTATAAAGGTATCATTACGAGTGATATTGCCATCAACTTTTGGAAATAACGAAATAGGAAAATAATCCTTTTTTAAAATTTAGATAAAAAATACACACAAAAATTAAGGTAGTTTGACGTTTGAAAACATATATCTTTGAATAAACATAAATATGTTATTAAAAAAATTATTGGGTTGATCCAAGTTGATGAGTTCCTGATTGATAAAAAGAAATTTACCTACAAGAATTTCGAAGTATTAGAATATAAAATTAGTATTAAGTTAGATTATTACTAAAGGGATATTTATACGCTTATGTGTAGAGATGATAATGAATCAAGTCGAGCGCGAATAATTTCTATCAGCACTTCCATAACAAAAAAGTTCATTTATCATGTGTTTGGTTATCCATTGAATATTTGTCTAAAAAATATCTCCAAGTATTTTAAAACGTATGGGTATCCGTAAGTATCCTTATATATTTAAAAAAATTCAATAAATTTTTAAAATAAAATCTATGTAAAACTAAAATAAAATAAAATATAAATTAAATTAAATATAAATTAAAATTTAATTTCAATTAAATTTAACTTAATAAAATATAATTTAATTTAAATTTTAATTAAATTTACCTGAATAAAATATAAATTAAATTTTAATTTTAATTGTTTGTCGCTAATAGATACTCGCAGATACAAATAGTATAATATCCACACCCATTTATAAATTAGTATTAAAATACCTATAAATCGCCATCCGCGTATAATAAATACTCATGAGTACTAATTATCCGTGGTAGATTTTATCTATACATACCTACATGCATGACTATATTTGTCATCCCTACTTTCTTTTGTGAGCCTATTAGTATAACAACAATTAAGATAAATTCAAAATATAACAACATATTAATAGATATAATAATTTTATTCAATTTATAAATCTCACACTTGGATCACATGACTATAAGACCATTTTGGA